AAGTGCGTCTACATTGGCCACAGACGCTTTTCCGGAAAAAGGGCTTTTCCGGAAAAGCAGCCTGCCAATGTAGACGCTTCTTTTCCGGAAAAACTGAAAACGGAATAGTATTCTGTTTTAAGCAGTTCCGGAAATTCATGCCAGTGTAGACACAGCCCTTGAGTTTTCAGGCCCCAGTGAGCATTCTCAGCCAGGAGTTATGTGGTGAGGGAGGGAAGAGGGAAATCAGATGTCAATTCGGGAGCAGGGCAAACGTGATGTGGAAGTGACACAGGGTGATGGACATTGGCTGCCACCACCTCACGTATGCACGGCTTCACGGAGCCTTCTCATGCTCCCGCAGCATGGCAGGGGCTTTTGCATTCCGTCGGGATTAACTGGGGTTAACCGAGACCAGGCGGCAGCAGGAAACGAATAGCGAGAGCCTGATTCTTCCGGGCTTCCCCCTTGTGCAAAGCGGCTGTAAAGCACCACCCTGCTGACCATCATTGCCTAGCTGGGACAACGCAGCTCGGTCTCAGCCCACCAAACCCAGCAGAACCCAGCAGGCGTCAATCCCAGCCAGATGCCCTATTTCGGACGTACTGTCCATGTACCTTGTCCCTGTGGGACACATTGTCTACTTGGCAGTATCGTCCCCTGCCTGGCCTCCTGGAAACATGGTAATAAATCCGGGGTCTGTCTCAGCCCTTGCAGACAAGCACACTTAATCTTTTTGGCTCTGGCAGAGTAATTACAGGGCAGAGAATCCGAAATCAGTCTAAACCACGGGCTAGATTCTTAGCGGATGTAAACAGGTGGCACCCCACTGGAAGCAGGAGGCCACATACTCGGCGGATGTAAATCAGGATTGTGCCACTGAAGCGAATCGGGATTTCCAGCTGATGTCCACAGACGACAAGGGACTTATAGAGGTGGACACCAAGGGAGGTTCTGGTCCCAAATCCTTTCTATAATTCAGTCCTAGGACCACCATACCAAGAGGCCCGGCTTTCCTGCTCTAAATGCCATATTTTCAGCATCTCTTTGCCAGGCTTCCTTGGAAACAGCTGCCTCCCCGGAGAGCTGCACAACGTACCTTTTAAATTTGTAGATTAAAAAAACAGCCAAACCCACAAGGACCACCGACAACAACATCAACATGGCTGAACTGCTGTGCCCGGCGCTGGCGTCCACCAGAGGGGCTGCAAAGGAAAAGGGCGGACAATTACAGTGGGAAGTCATCCACCAGGGGAGGGAGGCGCCAGGCCACCAAACCTGGTTCTTGCTTTGCAGCGTCTGCTTTCCTATTACCGCTGCGCAGCACATGCTGTCTGAGCAGAGCCAGCTGGTAGGAGACGAATCGATTCCCCTGCCGCCCAGAGCAAAGCTGCTATTTGAGCTGGTGCTGCCGGGTAACAGCGCCTGATGAAAAGGCAGGAGCAGGCTGTGCGCAGACAAACTAACTGCTCCTATGTTAACTCTTCAGGCTGTCTTGTTTTAAGCTTTCACTGTGGTTGGAGCAGAGGCAGAAAGCGAGGCTGGGGGTACGGAACCTCAGACTCAGGGGCCGGACGCGGCCACTGGCTTGCCTGGATCCGTTCCTCAAGGCTCAGGGCTCCCTTCCTAGCACTGGGGAGCCTGCGCCTATTGAGAGACTGGAGCACACAAAACCTACTAGCCTGGGAAAAGGTTCCCTACCCCTGGCATAAAGGGTTAGAAGGGAAATCTAATAAGAATGGTGCCGAGATGTTTTTATTTTTTTAGTTTACGCTGGAGAAGAGCAGAATCCCTCAAACCGAGGGACGCTGGAGAAGAGCAGAATCCCTCAAACTGAACGCCCCTCTGTTGCTCCCCAAGTTCCACAGCAGTGTCCAGCGGAGCCCCACCTCTGTAGATATGTGTGGGTGTTTTATAATAGACTGTGGCTGCGTCTACACTGGTGTGATTTTGCGCAAATACTTTTAACGGAAAAGTTTTTCTGTTACAAGTATTTGCGCAAGAGAGCATCTATACTGGCATGTGCCTTTGCGCAAAAAATTTGCTTTTGCGCAAAAGCATCCGTGCCAATGTAGACACTCTCTTGTGCAAGAAAGCTCCAATGGCCATTTTAGCCATCGGGCTTTCTTGCGCAAGAAATTCATGTTACCTGTCTACACTGGCCTCTTGCGCAAGAACACTTGCGCAAGAGGACTTATCCCTGAGCGGGAGCGTCAGAGTATTTGTGCAAGAAGCACTGATTTCATACAGTAGAACATCGGTGTTCTTGCACAAATACTCACAGCCAGTGTAGACAGGCGACAAGATTTTGCACAAAAGCAGCCACTTTTGCACAAAATCTTGCCAATGTAGACACAGCCTTCATGTAAATGGGGTGGCTCCCACCCCTGGTCTGGAACAGAATTCTCGCAGCTAAGTGGTCATTTTGCAAGATGCGGACTGAGAACAAGGAACTCCTGAGTTTAATCCAGGACTAACCCTCTAGCTCAGAGGTCTCAATTCCCAGACCACAGGCCATCCCTGGCTTTATGCAGTTTGGTCCAGGAGTCCTGGCGGGCTGGGTAGGGGGGACACTAGCAGAGTGAATGTGCCTGTCAAGTGTGCTCTGCTTCCTTACGGCCCCCCAAATAATCCGCAAAGCTGCATCCTTGGGGGACAGGGCACCATGACGGGGGTGTCGGGAAGGGGCGGGGCTTCAGCTGCTCAATTGCACGACTGCTTCTGTCCGGGATAGTCCATGGGCTGGGTGTTTGAGACCCCTCCCCTGCCCTAGCTTTTTGCAAATGGTTTCAAGTAGCAGCTGGACTTTCCTGAACCATCAAAGAATATCTGATCCAGGTTCATTATCACAACTTTCTGTTGCTTATCTTTCATGTGAGTGTCTCAAAACGCCTCGCAGATCTTAATGCATGAATTAACGAAGCCTCGCATCAATGGCATTTTTATACGTGAATAAACTGAGGCACCAGGCCGTTACAGTTCATATTTTCAAAAGCAGACTTTTGCGTGCCTTGGATTTTGGACGACCAGGCCGTTACAGTTCATATTTTCAAAAGCAGACTCAAGTTTTGCGTGCCTTGGATTTTGGACACCAGCTGAAGATACCTTCAGGGCTGATTTTTCAGAAACACGGAGCCACCCAGCTCCCACTAGCTCTGACTGAAGTTCTGTGCTTCTGGAAATCAGACCCAAAGGATGTCCAGTTGGGCGTTCCCAAATTTTGACCAAGGTAACGTGCCCATGGTTGTGACAGAGCTAATACTACAACCCACAAGGCTCCTGGTATCTGTTCTATCTGCTGCATTCCACTGTATCCCTGACCAATGCCAGTAAATGATTCTGCAGCAGCGAGAACTGAGACTGAGCCAGACGCCTTCCAATCTGACAACAGAGCAAGGGTTAGTGCACCACCAGTGGAAGGTTACATCTAGGGTCAAACCACACAGACCAGTGAACTCCTCCTCCTTGAACCCCAGTAGCTTCTTGTGATGGTCTGGGGTTTCTTCAGGAAATGGAGCAAACGCCTAGCCAAGGTATTCACCGGAAGCGAGGTTTAATCGGCCCTTTCTCTTCTCCAGCTACCGAGCGTCTCGGGAGAGGGTTGAGCTGGAAGAATCCAGATCTGCAACTGGTCAGGCATCTCTAAAGAACATCCCCCTTGCGACGTTTAATCCCTCCCCTTTAAACCATCTCTCCCTACCCAAACCTGAAGCTAACCTGTGGCCAAGGAGGGAGAGCTTGGCTGATCTAATCACTCCATGGATGGAAGGGTATAAGAGTATCCTGGGAAGCTTTGAGGAAGGAAGAAATTGAAAGGAAGGGGATTAAATGTTAGGAAGAGGGTGTTCCTTAGAGGTTCTGATTGGACATGGGCCTTAGGAAGAGGGTGTTCCTTAGAGGTTCTGGGCTTGAACCCAACATCCCCCAGTGGAGCACCCACACGCTCAGACCTTTTGAGTTCCAACCTGGATCCAGACAAAGTGGGTTCAGCTCTTCTCTAGTGCGGACTGGGTAGTGGAGTGGCCCATGCAGGAAGGGAGACCCTTGCATTGGGAAACTGAGACACAAGCTCAGCCAACCCATGTGTAAATCAACCAGTTCCTCCCAACGGTCCGCCTCTCCCTCCACTTGAATGACTTCCCTGCCATCCATCTATCGATATGCCATGAGTGCGCCAGTCTGTGTCCCGGCTCCTATGGGAAGCACAACTACTCAAGGCTCCACACTTACCTAACGTCAGCTGAGTGACGTACGTGATGACTTCCACACCAGGCTTCAGCTCAAACTGGACCAGGTTCTGGTTGAGAGCATTAAAGAGGATTTCAACAACCTGAGGGACCAATCAAAGAGAGGCAGGGGGTGAACATGGACAACAGCACCAGCACCACGGAACCCATCTTGCGGCAGGGAGAGTGTGTGTCAGAGGGGGCAAGGAGGGGAAAATTTGCAGGAAGTCAATGTAGTTCTTGGAGGTTCTCCCAGCAGGAAAGCTGGAACTTTAAGACCCCAGGAGGGGAAGAGAAACCAATAAATATAGAGTCCCAGGCTGCGTCTTCCCTGGCATGATTTTGCACAAATACTTTTAACGGAAAAGTTTTCCCGTTAAAAGTATTTGCGCGGGAGAGCGTCTATACTGGCACTTTCCCGTTAAAAGTATTTGCGCGGGAGAGTGTCTATACTGGCACGTACCTTTGCGCAAAAGATTTGCTTTTGCACAAAAGCATCAGTGCCAGTGTAGATGCTCTCTTGCACAAGAAAGCTCTAGTGGCCATTTTAGCCATCGGGCTTTCTTGTGCAAGAAATTAACTTGGCTGTCTACACTGGCCCTCTTGCACAAGAATACTTGCACAAGAGGGCTTATCCCTGAGCAGGAGCGTCGGAGTGTTTGTGCAAGAACCATGAAAAAATCCCCCCCAGCAAGTGTAGACAGGCGGCAAGATTTTGTGCAAAAGCGGCCACTTTTGTGCAAAATCTCGCCAGTCTAGACGCACCCCCAGAGTTTCAGGCTAGAAGGGAACTCCAGATCATCTAATCTGCCTTCCTGTATATCACAAGAAAGCTAGAGATGGGTAGAAAGAGTCTTCTATGGGATCTTCCTCAATTCCTTCCAACCAACACTCTGGGAGCATGATCCAGTGTCCAATGGAGTCATTAGGAACCCTCCCGTTGACTTCAATGGAAGTTGGATCAAATCATGGGTCACTAAACCCGTGGGCCAGCCTACAGACTCCCGTTTCTCTCCTTTTCAAAGCAGAACTAGTCCAGCAGCTCCTATCCATGGATAAATTCATGGCGTACAAGTCCATCAATGGCTAATAGCCAAGACAGGCAGGGATGGTGTCCCTTGCCTCAGTTTGCCAGTGGCTCGGAGTGGGCCGTAGGGCATGATAGATCACTTGATGGTTGCCTGTTCTGTTCCTTCCCTTTGGGGCACCTGGCATTGGCCACTGTCGGAAGACAAGTTATGGGGCTAGATGGACCTATGGTCTGACCCCACATGGCCGTTCTTAGGTTCTGTTCTTATTAAAGTAGAGCTGGGATCTTATAATGGGGCTAGATGGACCTATGGTCTGACTCCACATGGCGGTTCTTAGGTTCTGTTCTTATTAAAATAGAGCTGGGATCTTACCCTGAGTTATTTAACTCCCAACCACCTCCCTCTGTTCAAATGATGGGGGCCCTGGCATGCAAGTGCAGATCATTGTGTTGACCCAGAACTCACAGGAAATCGGGGACCTGGGCAGCACTGCACGTGGCCTTACCCTCGATGATCAAATTCAGCTGACGTCAGGAGACTCCCCGCCCCCGACTTTCCAACCACACCCTCGTGCCTCATGCAGCCACGCTGAGCTACAGGAGTAAGAGCCCGAACTCATGGGCTTGCGATCCGCTCATGTCATCTCAAGGGATGACTTTGCATCACGGGTAGGAAGAGCAGGTAAAGATTCTCTGTGGTCCTGAAAAATTCCAATGCCGCGTCGCAGCAGAGAGAAAGAGCTCGGGCAGGCTTCCCACGAAGCGTGTGCCCTGTACCTCAGACCCCAGTGTTGCGCCTGAGAACAGTAGCTGGAGCGAAGCTGCTTTCTCCAGCAGCATTTCACCCCGGGTGCCTTTGTAGAGCTGATTTAATCAGTTGGTAATCCTGGTGCGAAAGCCCTAGCCGGCTCGTGCTGCTGTTTCTAACTCTCCTCTTGCCTGAATCTCGCAGTTCCTATTCATCACTGTAATTACCTATTTATCTAAATGGATGGATATTGTAGTTTCCAAATATAGTTTGCATGTGCTGATTGCTACTGCAGAATAAAGAGATGTCTCCTACCAGGGATATACCCACAGAACAGCCTCATTTCTTTTTAGTGAGCCTCGGCATGTTATCTCATTGCTTTGCCCTCTCGCCATCTGCTTTTCTCAGGCATGTCGGGTACGGTTCTCAGGCCCATGGAGATGGGATGACGCATTGGGAGGCACTGGGAGGTTACGCCCCTCAGCTTCCTTAGTGTCTCTCAAGAAGCTCTCGGGAAAGCCCATTTTTCTTTGGAAAATAGCCTTGCTTCATGAGAAATGCTACATGTCTCCAGTCCCGGAGACGTGCCCAGTTTCCCCCGGCTCGCTCTAAGTGATTTCCAATGTGTCACAGACTTCTCTTATGACGAGGGGCTAGCTGAGCACGGTACGGGCTTCTAGAATAAACGGCCGATTGACAACAGCCCTACTTCCAGAAAACACGTAAAAGCTCCAGGAGGATTCTGCATGCTGAGTGTGTCCATGGGAGGTGTTTGCACAGCTTAGCCGCATTCTGTACTGTGACCCGCTCCCCCCTGCCTTGCTTACCGGCTCCAGATCACCTTCGTGGCCTTTCCTCCTCTCTGACATGTTTCTATGGGGTAGGATGAAGAGTTCAGCCGAGGTGGGCAGGCCAGGAAATACCGCCACCAAAATCTGCTCCTCGGAGATACCAGTCACCTAGGATGAAGAGTGAGCAGTGGCATTAGAACGTCACCTGGTGCCTTTTGGTCCCGCCCTCTATTCATTTGTAACTGAGCAGCAGTGAGGCAGACGAGCTAAGAACCAGCCAGCTTTTAGGTCATGTGGTGGAGGCTCATGACTTTAGCCCTAAGGTTCCAGGTTCAATCCCACCTGCCTACAACCAGGCCGTCAGCTTTATACATTCAGCCTGTTTTCTTCAGAAGAGCTAATGAAGTGGGAGAGAGGGTGTGTCTACACTGCACCATTTTTCTAGAATAAGAGCTGGGAAACGTCGGGAAAAACAATACTTGTGGTTACACAGCAATTGCATTATTTTGAAAGAAAATCGAAATAACGGAGGGCTTTTCCCGACGTTGGTAAACCTCATTCCACGAGGAATAAGGCCTCTTCTGAAAAAGCTTTTTCAGAAGAGGGTATGTGTTGATGCTCCACTGCTGCTATCTTGAAATTGCTCCTCACCCGGGCCATTCGAAAATTCTTTCTCCCCAGTGCTTCCTGGGGCTCTAAATCAAGACAGCACGCCCACATTAGGGGAGTCTGCCTTGGACTCATTTTGAGGCTTCCCGGAATTGTGGATGCTCTCTTTCGAATTAACCTACGAAGGAAGACTGAAAGAATTGGGCTTGTTTAGTTTGAAAAAGAGAAGACTGAGGGGGGACATGTTAGCAGTTTTCAGGTATCTAAAAGGGTGTCATAAGGAGGAGGGAGAAAACTTGTTCTTCCTGGCCTCTGAGGATAGGACAAGAAACAATGGGCTTAAACTGCAGCAAGGGAGGTTTAGGCTGGACATTAGGAAAAAGTTCCTAACTGTCAGGGTGGCTAAACACTGGAATAAATTGCCCAGGGAGGTTGTGGAATCTCCATCTGTGGAGATATTTAAGAGTAGGTTAGATAAACGTCTAACAGGGATGGTCTAGACAGTACTGGGTCCTGCCATGAGGGCAGGGGACTGGACTCGATGACCTCTCGAGGTCCCTTCCAGTCCTAGTATTCTATGGTTCTATGATTCTAAGCTTTTCCAGAAGATATCTTCCAGAATAGCATATTCTGAAAGAAGCTTGCAGTGTAGACATACCATAGTGAACTCCTACCCATTGTCAGTGGGGTGCCAAGCAATGTAGTGCTGGTGAGCTAGTATGTCCATTCAGAAGGACCTACTACGCAAACTCCTGTATGGAATGACTCCTTCTCCTCTGTGGGCTTTAAATCAGACGTAGAATGTGTCCAAATTTTTGCACATCTCCTATCCTTTTCAAAGGCTGACTCAGAAATCCACACAGCCTGTATCAGTACACTGCTGTGTGCTCAATTGACAGTACCAATTGTGCACCTATGGCTCAGATTTCTGGTTACCTAGCTGCCTAATTTTCATGGTTTCTGTCCGCTAAGTGCTGCCTCCATTTGTAGGCACCACCAGTTGCATGAGCATAGCTCACAGGCTGTAACTAAATACTTGGTCCCAACAGTACACAGGGACAAGTATTTTTAAAATATTTCTATTTTCTGTTGCACCGCATGATGCTTGCAATACCAGAAAAAAAGCCAGCCTCCTTTTTTTTTTTTTTTTTTTTTTTTTTGCAAAGAGACCCTGAATTTGATAAAGGGGTAAAATGTTCCTGTTTAGTCAAATGAACCAAGCTTTCTCACAGTGTGAAACATAAATCGCTGAAATTCCACCCACTGCAAATTTTTCATGCAGTTTTGTTGCAGGTGAGACAAAGCAAACAAGAATGCGATTTGCCTGTAAAAAACCACCACTTTCTGTTTCCAAGAACAGCCACAGAAAATAAATTTGAGGGGAAAGTAGATGATGTTTCTCTCGCTTAGACCCCATTACAATCAAGACTTTTTGCTTTGATCTATCTCCTGAGGATAAATAAAAACAGATTCCCTGGCTACTTGATATCATTAATTATTCCCTGACACTTTTCTTTGTGGAAGCATTCATGAGTGTTAGCGCAAACTGTCCTAGTAAAATCCAAATGCGGGTTAGTTACACTCTGTCTCAATACATTCCCTCAACGTCCTGCTGTTTTAATAAGATAAGATATTCTTTATGTACTGTCCCAGACTCTATGTAGAGTTGATATGAGCTCCACTCCATAGGAGGCTAAATATCAGATGAAAAGGCATTTCTCTCATTCCAATAATATAGGGTGGTGAGTCGGTAGACAGATCAATCGATCTTTTGACCTACCATCGATATGTAGCTTCCTATGGGGTGGAACACATGTGATAGCTAAATTTGCTCTAATTATGGGCTCAACTATAAAAGTGAGTATAAGTCCTGAAAGTACCACAATAACATATAGCAACCAATGATGAAGGGAACAGGTGCAAAAGCAAGACAGACTGAACCAGTCCGAACAGAAAGTCCTACTCGTGTAAACCAAAGACTGTGCTAAGACCACACTTGGTGAATAAAAACGTGTCCAGCCAGGAATCATGGAACCAACATTGGTATGTGGGAAATTAGGCTTAATAGGGGGGATCAAATAATCATAAAATCCTAGGGTTGGCAGAGACCTCAGGAGTCATAGAGTCTAACCCCCTGCCCAAAGCAGGACCAACCCCAACTAGATCATCCCAGCCAGGGCTTTGTCAAGCCAGGACTTAAAAACCTCTAGGGATGGAGATTCCACCACCTCCCTGGGGAACCCATCCAGTGCTTCACCGCCCTCCTAGGGAAATAGTTTTTCCTAATATCTAACTTAGACCTCCCTCACTGTAACTTGAGACCTCTCTCCTTGTTCTGCCATCTGTCACTACTGAGAACAGCCTCTCTCCATCCTCTTTGGTACCCCCCTTGAGGAAGTTGAAGGCTGCTATCAAATCCCCCTCACTCTTCTGTAGAGTAAACAAACCCAAATCCCTCAGCCGCTCCTCGTAAGTCATGTGCTCCAGCCCCCTCATCATATTGAGGGGATGGGCTATTCCACCTAACACTGCTTTTGGGCAGCCTCAAAAAGAGACTTTGTGGAGAAAAACTGGCTACTGGAGCAACATTTGACATCATGGCTGCCACCCCCACCATCCCTTGAGACTCTCAGCCTTCATCAACCTGACAGACCTCCTGATCAGACCGGGCCATAGAGAAGAAACCAGATGGTTACCTCCCCCAGCTGCAGCTAATCCCAAACACCACCTCGAATGTGAGACTTTGTACAACGTCATGTGTCTGTTTCCTTGGCTGCCATATGTCTTCTCTTTCCTATTTCTCTCCTTCTTCCTTTCTGCTAACGAGACTGGCTGAGCCCAGCAAAACTGCATGTTTTGCAGCACTGCCAGAAGCCAGCGATCAGGAAAAAGGCAACTAAATGCAATGCTCTAAACAGCCCAATACTGGTCCAAGTTTGCCAATTCTCAGTCAGAGTGGCTGACAAGACCCCGTGCTGGGCGTACATGTTTCCTGGGGTGAGCTTGCAAATCAAAGTCAACACCAAAGACGGTTTCTTTCTCTCCCCCTTTTGTGTGTGTTTGGGGTCCCACTGATGGCGTAAAAGGGAAATTGCTCTTGGCAGTTCTGAGGTCGGGGTTGGGGTTTCCCCGGCCACACCCCTTCCATCCAAGCCCCATCCCATACAGGAGTGTGGAGCCACCCCCTGCCCTCCCAGCTTTCCCAGGGTCCTGTGCGCTTGTCTTGTTTTGCATTTTAGGAAATGGGATTAGACTATAACAACAATAGCTTCAGCCCATCTCAACTACCTTCTTCTCTTGCCCTCCAAAGGACAGGTCTTTAATACCATCTAATAGACGCTCAGACATGGGGGAGTATGCTTCTAAATACCCTCTCCAGCTAAAGGGAAGCAAAGCAAGGGACACTGGTAAACGATCTGCCTTGCTTAATACTACCTGTTTCCAATGCTTTAAACTGTTTTCCCTCCTTTTCTGTATCTCAAATAAACAATGAAAGGGCTTTGTAATGTTGATTGCCAAGCCCGCGGAGGCATTTGTATGCCAAACACCGAATCCCGTGTTTAAAACTTTAACGTTGGGCAGACTCTCGCTTATGTTAACATCTTTGATTCTTTGGCCCACATATGCCACCGAACTTAATACAACAGACAGGAAATAAGGACGATTTTATTCTATTAGCCACTTTACAAATATATTGAGTTTGCAAAGTGCTTTGGGATACTTAAGATTGAAAAATGCTATAGAAACTTTAATAGTAGTAATTACGTTGAGTACAAATCCCCTAATGCATCTTGTTTTACAATTGCTCAGCGCATTAACAGGCTGCTGGTGACAACGGCAGAACGATGGCTTCATTATGGCTGTTCGTTCCCAGCCTTTTCTGTTTTTAGCTCTTCTGCTATGAAACGCTCTGCATTTTAATGGGCTCACCATTGTTTGGGAAGGAGAACAGGGACCCGACACTCACCTGCACGAGAGCTCTCTTGATCACTTTGCTAATGTCTTGTCTCCACTCGGGGATGTCAGGGTTGTGGTAATCCAGATTAGGGGAGAAGGACAAGAGCTGAGACTGGAAATACTCTGTAGAAAGAGGGAGAATAATCATCATAATACTTGGCCAGTGTTCTGGGCCTGATCCAGCACCCATGTGAGTCAGCAAACAGACTCCCGTGATTATGCGTGGTTTTGGATTAGGGCCACGGTCTGTTTTATCAAAGGCTCTAAAAGCCAAAGAGGCAAAGGAACACATTGCTGGTCAGAGATTCGCAGACAGAACAGAAAGCTCTTATAAAGGGCCTTTCATCCCAGTCGTGTGTCATGGGACTTTACAGAGGAAAGGGAAAAGGAAAGAAAGGAGAAAAAAAGAGAGAAGAGAGGGAGGAGGGACAGAATCCCTTTAGGGTGTGTTGGGTGTGTGGTTTAAATATCTAACCGTACGGCCATCTGCACACAAAGCTGTCACCTGTAAATAAAACAGGGTTAGCATAAAATTTGAAGCCATCACTTCAAACTGGGTTTGTTCTCATGCTCTTGTCATGAAGCATGATTCACAGAGCAAACCGTGACTAAACCTATGTGAATAATGTAGCTGGAGTCAACAGATCTTAGGTCAAGTTACTGCGGGGTCCACACCATGATCAGGTGGGAGGGGGCTGATGGGAGAAACTCACTGACTTACTTTTCTCTGAGATAGAGTAACGAGTCCAACTGGAGAGTGATCGGCAATTGATTTGGCAGGCCTTCACTAGACCTACTGAATTGACTGCCGATGAATTGCTGTAGTGTAGATGTGCCTTCAGCAATGCTATTTGTCCCAAAAGTGGGCACGGTTTGTTCCCTGGGAACGTCGCCATGGATGGTTGACACTCCAGTAAATCTGATATCAGTAGTGCTAATGACACGTAAATCCAGGGAAGGCTATTCACAGGACACTCTGAAACGACTTCTTAATTAATTGAGTGCTAGGGTGAGGACATCCCAGGTTGATTTTAATGACAAAATTTTTTTAAGGTACCCAAACCCAGACTTGTCATCTAGCCTGCACTGTAATCTCCTTATTGTTGGCACAAGCACCTACCGCTGGCTCTGCCTCTCCGTATCTCTGACTCATCCTCTCTTTTCAAGTCTCGTTTCATGTGTATTGCTCCTTCCTGGCCCACAACCCCCTATGCAGGGGTTGGCAATAATTTATGATGGAGGAGGGGGCTCTCCAAAACTTTGTTAAGTGGTCAAGGGGTGCAGGGTGTGGGATGGAGGTTGGGTGCAGAAGGGAGCTGGGGTGCAGGAGAGGGTGTGGGGTCGGAGAGGGAGTTTGGGTGAAGGAGGGGGTTGTCACCTTGAGCAGGGGATTGTGGTGCAGCATCCAGGAGGAGTATGGGTGCAGGAGAGCATTCTGTCTTGGGGAAGGGATATAAGAGGGAGTGCAGGGTCTGGCAGAAAGTTGTGACCTTGGTAAGAGGGAAAGGGAGGCACAGTATCTGGGTGGTAAATTGGGGCAGGGGATAAGGGTGCAGGGTCAGGGAGGGGGTATGGATGCAGGAGAGGATTCTGGCCTTGGGGAGAGGAGCAAGAGGGTCTGCAGGGTCTGGAAGGGAGTTGAGACCTGGGGGAGGGAGGGTGCAGAGGCTCTGGGTTGTGACCTGGGGCAGGGAGTCAGGGGGAGGGAGGGATTAGGTGCCAGAGGCAGGCTCTGGCCAGGAGGCACTTACCTCAGCACCTCCCAGCCAGTTGCCTTACAGGATCCTGAGGCAGGCTCCCTGCCTGCCACAGTCCCAGAATGCTCATACTGGTTGGCTGCTCCCTGTTCTGGGAGCTGGGGTGAGGGGGGGAGGCTTTGTGCGTTGCTCCCCCCCCAGCCAATAGGAGCTGAGAGACAAGGGTAGCATGTGTAGCCTCCCCTTCCCCCGGCACCCAGAGCAAACAGCCACAGGGAGCAGCTAGCTGCTTATTGCAGCAAGGGGCTGCACTGTGCCTGAGGGTCCCAGTGGGTGCCCCGGGGGCCAGATCTGGAGGCTTTTTTGTG